ATTAACTTCTTCTTTTATTTATCTCATGTTGAGATATTCTTTATTTCATCTAAGAACTGACGATATTGATTGTTCAATATAATGTACTTGGTGCTTAAGAGGCACCATACTTATCGAGGGTGTATGTGGGTGTGGTTATAGATAGAACATACACTCACACCTACAGCCACACCCTACTACTTTCTTAACAGCAGCCTATTGCGCATATGTCAATATGTTTGGTTGTCATGGACTTTTTGAATGAAATGTTGCTGATGTTTAGTCTTGAAGCAATCAAATACGTGTAGCCGTTACATGTCTTTAACCATAGAAAAAATTTTAAATAGTCGCGTGTAAAAAGAAAAAGAAGAAGAAGAAAAGAATAGAAATCGAATCGATAATGGTTACTGATTCTCTAACATCAATTTTGTAAAAGAGAACGTTTTTTTATTATTTAACCACTATATACAAAAGCATTAGAAAAAGAAATTTAATTTGTTTCACATAGAACAATATTAAAATTTAACGAGATGACAAATTCATCTTGGCCAAATACACCATGTCAAATGCAAAGGCCATCATTAATTGAGGATGATGATGACCATACTAATAATAAGAATAGAAAACAATTGCTATCAAGAAGTCTTACATTTGATAAGGAACCATTAAAACAAAAACAAATAAAAAGACTAAGTCGATCATCACCAGCTATAATTGAACAACAACTACAATGTTTAGATCGAAGTTTACTTAGTAATGATAATTGGCTGCAAGAGACAATGGCTGATGTTCGTGTTAATGTTAAAGCGATTGAACAAAGTAATCAAAATATTCTATTTGGCAAAGGTAATATTTTAATTATAAATAAGTCAATATAAATATTTAATTCAGGTATTGATCCTTTACCATATGTACGTGACATGCTTAATGAATCGAGTAATACAGAAGCTTTTCTTTATGGTCGACAATGTCGTGTTGTTGTTGGTAAATTACGTTTATGTTGGAGTGATGTTAATGAAGAAATAAAATCATTATTAAAACATAAAGAATATATAGAAGCAGCTATTGAACATATTCGAAAAGATTTAATAATTAATAAACGGAGTGTTAAAATACAAAAAAAAACCAAAACGAGAAGCGCTAGTTTTATTTTATATTTTTAAAAGATATTTG